TGGGGGAACACCAGGGGGTGGGGGCTGAGTCCGTTGGATGGCTTTGAAGTAGATATAAACCCCAGCTGAATAACAGTTGTATTATTAACATCTGTCATTTCACCTGATTTCACGTTTTTTTATTCTTTGTTGCATCTTACTATTACAGATCCCCCAAAACTCTTTTTGCAGGCCCTTGTGACAGGGTAACAATGCAGGAGCACGCTTGGGGGGAAAAGAACAGTGCATGCTGACGTTTTAAAATCTTTTTTTTTTTTTAGGTGAAAATAAATTTAAAACGACTTCTGCAGGGAACGGGCCTAAAAATGACATGTCTCTGAAATTTTAAATGCTCGGTTAACATTTACTGGATTCAACAGACCGGAAAACATACAATGTGGCAATTGCAAAAAATGTGGCACCCTGTCAGTCTGTACTCACTAACATACCCTATGGCTGAGGTCGCAGCCTCCAAATGTTACTTGCAGCCACTTAGCAAGTCTTTCTGTTGCCGTGTTAAGATTTTTTTTCCCGCTCTCCCTTGACAAACCCTTCAGGCTCACAGACATTCTTGTGTCATCTGGCTTTCCACTGCACGTTTGACATCTACATGCAGATTGTCAGGCACTGAAAATAATCAGATTCAGCAATGAAACTGTAACTGTGTTTTATGGTGTGTAAGGATATGTTGTGGTCATGTTTTTTACCTGCAGAGGTTGTATTAAAGTTATACATAGAAGAGCTTTTCTCAACCAGGGTTCTAAAGAACTCTGGAGTTGCTCCAGAGGTTGCTAGGTGGTTTCCTGAATCATGAGCGAATTCTTCCTCTCAAAAAAGCAACCATTGACACCAAAGGTCTTTATAGCTATCTGGATGTGGGGAATTATTTCCACTGTAAAGGGCATCCTTCCCAATAACCACTAATGTAAGAGACATTTTTCTAAGGGACCACCAGTATTGTGGGGCCCTTCTCCAACAGCCCTTCTCTCACTCAGCACCAAAGTAAGGGGCATTCTTCGCTCTGACAACCATGACCCTTCTCCCAATGAGCACTAATGTAAGGGTGTCCTCTCTCTGATAACCAATGTAAGGGAGCACTTCACGAATATCAGTGTAAGGGGGCCCTTCTCTCACTGTCCACCAAAGTAAGGGGCACTCTTCCCTCTGACAACCATTCTCCCAATGCCTACCTATGTAAGGAAGTCTTCTCTCTGACCACCAATGTAAGGGAGCATTTCACTAATAGCTAGTGTAAGAGGGCACTTCTCTCATTGACAACCAAAGTAGGGGCATTCTTCTCACTGACAACCATGACCCTTCTCCCAGTGGCCACCAATGTAAGAGATCCAACAGAGAAAACAAGGAGGGAAGCGCTACAAACTAAGTGAGAGGGCGTGTTACGGAGCCAGGGAGGAGGGAATGGGAAAAGGTTATAACAATGTAAGAGAGGCATCTCTCTGATCACCATGCAAGGTAGCATTTATTTAATAGCCAGTATAAGGGGGCCCTTCTCTCACTCCCACCAAAGTAAGAGGTATTCTTCTAATTGAAAACCATGGCCCTTCTCTCAATGACCACTAATGTAAGGAAATCCTCTTTCTGACCACCAGTGTAGGGGAACATTTCACAAATAGCCAGTGTAAGGGAGCCCTTCTCTCACTGATCACTAATGTAAGGGGCAGTCTTCTAATTTGCAACCAGTGTCCTTCTCCCAATGACCTCTAATGTAAGTCAGGATCATTGAGTATCATTTTGTTTTATTATTATTGAAAATAATGTTGTCATTTAGAGTAGCACTTGGTGTCAAATATACTAAGTAGAGCACAGAGTTAGAGATGGAGACAAAGATTCTTGTCTTTAGAATGTGTAAAATGCTTTAGTGTGCATAGTCTGGGCACAGGTTCACTTTGAAGTTCACCCGAGGTCGTCACTGCACAACCAGCTATATAAGCTATATAAATACCAGCCATGCTTCCTGTATCCTCAGCACCTTCTTAGTCTCTTTAATTCCAAATAACCAACAACACAGTGCCTCCTTCCTTGTCAACTTTGCCCAATACTCCCTATGCCTCTGCTGGGTTTGCAATAATTCGCCTCCGCAGGGGGGTTTTCCGCATATCTCTCCTCATAGGTCATATGTTCTACTTACTCCAATGCATAGACACTGTGATGAAGACAGCAAACTGATTTTCCTTATGCAATTCAAAAAGTAACTTTATTTATTATGATTTAGATTCACTTACACTTAAACAATCCAAGCTTCTGGCTTATCTATATACTGCAATGTCAAGAAACTAGGGGCCCACTCATTGCCCCCCCTCATTTATTACACTGCAGAGACAAGACACCACCTTAGGTCTTCCACCCTCCTTCTCAACCCCTCTCAGGCTTTGGGTGTTGTTCAAGCTTTTGAAACTTTTGTGCTGCCACTGCACCAAAACGTCCCAAAAATTGGACCTGCCACAACATTTTTAATGCAATGCTCTATGGTGCACTGCAATGCATGTGCATTACCTTAGTGCATTGGGGTGCTATTGGATCAGAGGGTGAACTTCAAGCCAAGTGCAAGTCTTCTGATATTAGCGGGAGAGGGTTCCCTGGAAAATGAAATTGCATTCCACTGAAACTACATTGTACATAATGGATAGATGTCATGGATATGCTGCAGGGGCAGGACGTTTTCATCAACAGGCTCCTTTTACAGCCACAGGCCCAACAATTTGCGGCACATTTTTCATCCAAATTTAGAGATAAAGAGATTTTTCAATTTACACTTTTATCTTTAATGTTTCCCTAATGTTCCTTCTTAATGATCTGTAGAAATTAAGAGAAAAAGAAAAACCCAAAACAAAGTTGCATATAAAATAACTATCAATAATTGTATACAAACACATCTAATGCAGCAAAGTGGTTTATTTTTGGAACAAAGATGATCTTGTGTCAGGGCAAAATGTTTATTTGGAAAAAATTGTGTAATTGAGTTCCAGGCAGCTCGTCAACTCAGTGAATAATTAATTAGCTGTTACTCTAAAACCCATAAAATGTGTCACATTAAAAGCGCAGCACAGAGGCTGCAGAGTCCTTGACAATGTTCAGCACTTTCTCAAGTGTTTGTTCAACAAGGGCCGACATTTATTACTTTGACTCCCGGAGTGTTCACCTGACCATTTCCCACCTCGACATCTTGAGTTTTGCGCCTGAACTGTCCCCTCCTTTAACTGCCACATGGGTAATTATGGCGGGACTAATTAAAGAAAAACATAACGCTGCAAATAACTTTAACTGTAACAAAAAAATCAGGGTCCATTTACGTTTGTGTGGCATGGGTCATTAGGACTTGTGCCGCATTAAGGCAGGTGATTGAAAATAATAGGCTGCTGACTCACCAAACCTCCCAAAAATCAGACATGCCACAAAAATGTTTTTTAACGTAATGCACCGTGTTGCATCGCCATGCATAATATATATGTGCATTGGCTTTGTATGTTGGAGTGCTGAATGGCACCACACTGTATCAATGCATGAAGCATCCATGCAAAAAAAAGTTTAAGGAGCCATTCACATTTATGCAGTGTGTTAATGCGTGTGCATTCGATCGCATTTTAATGTGCATTGCATTAGAGCAGCTTTTGAAAATCTTGTGCTGCCACTGCACCAAAACTGCACAAAAATTGGACCTGCCACAACATTTTTAATGCAATGCTCTATTGGGCACTGTCATACATTGCAGCACACTGCAACGCGTGTGCGTTACCTTGGTTTGGCACAGCCTTGATACTACTTTAGAATATAAATATGCTCCATATGCACCAAAACAAAAGGTGTGCAAAGTCTTTGTGCAATTTGTAGAGCAGCCGCAGCCTGAGTAGATGAGACTGTCTCCTGCCAGCATGCTGCGGGGAAGTACCCTTGCTATGCGTGGAAGCAGTGGTCTTAATGCAGAGGTCCAACATGCCCCCTCTAGAGAGAGCTAAAGATTTCCAGTTAATTAATCTCATACTACCAGCTGGCTGGAGAGCTCTGACTTAGGGAGCATATTGAATGTTTGCTGAGAGACCACTGCTTCTACACATAGCAAGGGTCCTTCTCAGTAGCATGCTGGTAGGGGAGAGGCTTTACTACTCTGGCTGTGGCTGCTTTCTAAAGCAAACAAACTATAAGACTTTGCACACATATTGCTTCAATCCACCTGGAATGCAGTTGTTTTAACTCCTGGGAGGAGTATCGAGGCAGGAAGCTATGTAGAGTACACTGCAGGCTCCTTCCACCAGCAATGGTGTGCCTGCATTGCATAGAGAAGCACATAAAGTTTGTAATGAAAGTGGAAAGGCTCTATTTAAAAATGTTGTTAACTTTTTA